TGGCAGCTTTGGAAGCAGGCCAGCAGCTGGCATCAAGCTGGCTTCTGTCCAGCAGCGAATGGGAGAGGTGAAGGGACCATTCTGTGGGGCCGGGAACAGTGGCAAGATTCAACTCACAGCTTTCTTGCTTTAGCTCAGCAGTAACAAACCCAGGGGAGTGCTGGTCTCCCCAGTTACTCCTCCCTGGGCTGGTATTCGGAGAAGAAAGTTCAGTGGGACAACCCTGGACGCATCCTTTGCAGATCATTAGAGCATTCTGGACGCGCTGTGGGTTGAGGGGGGCTGAGGCTGGGGTACCAGGAAACGGGGGTCCTGCCAGCTGGCTCAGGGGCCTTGGAAGCTCAGGGCTCCACTCAGTGAAACTGGGAAAGAACATGGATGTGGTAGACCAGTGGTTCTCAACCTTCTGGCCCTTGAAATACAGTTCCTCATGTTGTGACCCAACCATAAAATTATTTTCGTTGCTACTTCATAACTGTAATGCTGCTACTGTTATGAATCGTCATGTAAATACCTGATATGCAGGATGGTCTTAGGCGACCCCTGTGAAAGGGTCTTTCGACCGCCAAAGGGGTCGCGACCCACAGGTTGAGAACCGCTGTGGTAGACGAAGGCCCGGGGCAAGGTAAGCTCACCCCCTGCCCAGGCCCGGCTTCCGCAGGGGGTGACGCTGCAGGACCCCTCCCTCCTCTAGCTCCGGGGGCACCGGGGTTGCCAGCTGGCGGGTCTGGAAGCGGTAGCCGGGGGGGATGGGCGGACGGGCCCAGAGGCGGAGCAGGGTCTGGGGGCGGAGCCTGTCTCCTCCGCAAAGCTCCACCCCTTCCCGCCCGGAGCTCAAAGGGATGACGTCACCCAGACCGAGGCTGCAGCCCGGAGGGGCGTCTATAGCGGAAGAGCCTTAGGCGCCTGCAGCGTTCAAGGTCTTCCCCGGTTTGCCCCGCGGCGGCTCCTGGCTCCTCCCCCCGAATCCCGTGTAGCTGTAGGGGAGCCCGGCGTTTGGGGGTCTGGGGAATGGCCGCCGGCGACTTAGCCTTCCAGGTCTGGGACTCAGAGACCAGTCCCTTGGGCCACCCGTGCAAGCACTGCCTCCCCCTCCCCCTCGCCCTCCCCGCCCCCCACGCAGCCCTGCTTTGCTCTGAGGTTCCCCGGAGAAGGACAGCATCCCTGGTTCTGACTTGTCAGCCCACAGCGAACCCAATGCCCCCTCCCCGTGGGTCCGCAGCCCTCCCCACCCAAACCCCTACTGGGTGCTTGTGTTGCCGGCTTGCCGAGCATATGCTTGGCGGGTTGCGTGGTGTCTGCTGTTTATCCGTCTCTTCCTACTTAACTTCTGTTTCTGCTTGGCCCATCTGGCTCTGGTACCTGCCTTTCTCTCGCTGCGCCTCCTCTCCGCCTCTGTGCTCCCACCCGGCCCCCCTCCCTCTGCCACTTCCCTCCCAGGGCAGGGCTCTGGTCCACTCTGGGGCCACTGGCAGGAGCCCTTGACCTTGGGTGCAGGAGCAGTGAGGGACTCCTCCAGCCTGTGGAACTAACTGCCCAGGCACATTGGGGAGCCTGACATCGGGTCCCTTCGGGGTCCTGGGGATGCCACTGGGGGTTGAAGTGGGTGGTGGAGGGCAGCATGGCGGTGGCCTTGCACCAGGGAGAGGCAAGCAGGCAGTTCTGAGCTCCCTTCCTACCAGAGAGCATGCTTGGGGTGGGGTCACCGGCACCAGAGTCGTGGTATCTGCTTCTCTCTGCCGGCAGCAGGGAAAGGAAACAGACCTGGGAGTGGCAGCAGGAGAGAGTGAGGCCAGGAGGGTCCCCAGGTTCTTTGGACTCAGAACCCCAGGGTGTACCCAGCTCCTTCCTGCCAAGAGGAGTCTGTGGCCCGGCTGGCTGGCGGCTTGGACACAGAGACAAGGGCACCCAGGGGAGAAGGAATGCCCGCCCCTTCCCCTGGGGTCACTCCCACCTCCGTGCAGCCCAGATGCTGGACTAGGCCCTGCACCCCGAGTCATGGCTTCGCCTCTCTGCCCCAAAATCCCCAGCTGGCACATCCATGAACACACATGCACACCCATGGCACGGCTCACACTCACCCTCCATGCAGCCACCTCCTTCCAGGGGGAGGTGGCAGCTGACCGGCTTCCTAGGACTTGCCAGGAGGAGGGTGGAGGAGAGCTGGAGCCCTACAGGGCCCGGCTGTCCTTCACCGGCCTCTCTGGGCCTAGCGGCCCCTGCGGGCTCAGGCTCGCTGCCGAGGAGGTGGCCCTGGGCCCGGAGTCAACAAGGCCCCACGTGCTCCCTGTCAGCATCTGCTTCCCACGGAAACCTGCGGGGCTTGGCTGCCCGGCCCGCACGGGCCTGCTCCTCCTCCGGGGCTCTGCTCTCTGTCTCTGTTGCTCCATCTGCTGCTCCGCCAGATCCTGGCTCAGCTCTCTCGGCCTCTTTGTTTTCCTCCCAGAGCCTTCTTCCTGCTCTCCGTTCCTCCCTATCCTCCCTCCCTGCCTCCACCCGACCACCTTCACGCCATCGTCCCTGAGGTCTTCCTTCCCCCTTTGTCTCTGTCCATCTTTCTTCTTCTTACTGCTCTCCCCCATATTCACATTCTCTCTCTCTCTCTCTCTCTCTTTCTCTCTCTTTCTCCCTCATACATATTCAGTGGCTCCTTGGAAATCCACCCAGATCACTCCACGTGCTAAAAGCCTAGATCTGCTTCGGGAGCACTTCCTAGACTCCAGCTCCAGGTCCCTGTCTCTGACCTCAGTCTGGAGTAATTGCCTAGAAAATGTGGGGAGTCCGCCGACCCCTCCACTCCAGTGTGGCTTGCTCTCCACAATGCCCCCTCTGCTGATGTGGAACCAGGTGGCCACACAGGCCACCGTGCTCGGTCAGGTGATCCAGCAGAGGACTTGAGCGTCTGGAGCGACGGGCTGCCCCCCAGGGATCTGAGGGGTTCAATCCTAGAAATAGCTTAAGCTCTATAATGTCTGACCCCAGCTGGTTTGGCTCAGTGGATAGAGTGTCAGCCTTTGGACTGAAGAGTCCCGGGTTTGATTATTGTCAAGGGCACATGCCCGGGTTGCGGGCTCGATCCCCAGTAGGGGGCGTGCAGGAGCTGCCGATCAATGATTCTCTCTCATCATTGATGTTTCTCTCTCTCTCCCTCTCCCTTCCTCTCTGAAATCAAAACAAATATATTTAAAAAAATCTACACTGTCTGCTCCTTCGGCGCCTTTACAGTTATTTTGCGGCTGCTCTGTTATCCCCTTACCACACTTATGGAAGGCTCGTTAACGAAGTCACTGGTGTTCAGGCTGGGAGTCGCTCTGCCAGCACCACCTGGCACTCCAGGAGCAGAGCCCGCATCAGGGTCCTGGCTGCAGGGCTCTCAGCCCTGGTCTGTGGCAGGTGCATGAACAGAGAGGACTGAAAGGTGCCATGCATGGCAGTTAAAGGACAAGGAGGTGGGAGAGAGATGACAGAGGGAGAACGGGAAGAAGGAGCGTGTGGCGGGGCCGGGCCCGGTGCCTGTTACCTCCTCGGTGCCCGCTGGTTTTACCACGACCATCGGTGTCGGGCGGTGGGGACAGGCATTGCGTCCCCTTATGTTACCGTGTTAGTCCCCCAGCCCCTGGGTTTCTGTCTCCTTTCTCTGCATGTTTATCATCTGGCCTCACGGTCGCTTCTCTGCTTTCTCCTTTCTCTGTCCCAGCTTAGGTCACCTGCCTGTGTCTCCCCTCCATCCTCCAGGCCTGGCTCAGTTCTCTTCCATCTTTCCCAGTCCTTGACCTCTCTTTGCTCCCTGACCACCTCCTCTGAAGCCCGCCTCCTGGCATGGAGTAGCTGGTGGCGCCTCCAGGTGGCGGGGAAGGGCACAGGCACGGGTCCCTGTAGGTGTGAACTGGAGCTGGTCTGTCCCATTCCTCCCATGGACACTGGTCTAAACTCACCTCTTTCTTTTCAGAACACCGTGTGTGTGTGTGTGTGTGTGGGGGGGTGGTCAGCTTGGCACCCCCAACATATACCTGCATCAGATTTGCATGTCAGCCAGATAGACTTAACCTTGAGGCCGCACTGTGGCCCTTCAGCAGCTGGGGCACAGACAGACCTCCTCTTCCCCAGTGAAAGCCCCTGGCACCCCCTCTCCTGACCTCTGTCGGCCAGAGAGGCGGCTTCAGCCCAGAGACCCCTCCTACCTTTGTTTCCCTGGGTGGTTTGGCTTTTCTTCACACCCAGGCTCTTCCTCGTCTTTACATGGGACTCCTGGGCCAATGGTAAAGTTATTGTTGTTGTTCTTGTTGTGTGTTTGTGTGTGTGTTTTAAATAAAGCCAAGCATTTGAAAGATTGCTGTCTTTCTTTTCTTTTTTATTTTATTTATTTTGATTTAAAAGAGGAAGGGAGAGGGTGAGAGAGATAGAAACATCAATGATGAGAGAGAATCATTGATCGGCCTGCTCCTGCACGCCCCACACTGGGGATCAAGCCTGCAACCTGGGCATGTGTCCTGACCGGGAATTAAACTGTGACCTCATAGGTTGATGCCGGCCGGGCCAATGTTAATTAAAAAAAAAAAATTCTGTCCAGAACAAAACCAACACTAGACCAACAAACCCTTCAAAACCCACTCTGTGTTTTAAACACCATCTCCCACCAATGAGCTGTCAGTCTGGTCCCCAGTGGGGGTGTCTGCCAGCACACCCCTTGGCCCTCCTCTGTTCCCACGCTTCTCCCTCCTTTCTGGACCTGCTTCTCGTGTCTGAGCTCTGGGCCCTCGTACAATATAAAGGGATGGAGTGAAGCTTGAGGCTGGAGCCTCACAGGCATTGTCCCTGGTGGTGCAGGAGGATGGTGAACCCAGGAGAGAAGCATCCCTCCCTCTGACTTCATTGAGAAGGTCACGAGGGAGCATGAGTGCCCAAGAACTCGGGG